GGTGTGTGAGCCCATGATTCAACCCAGTGGGCAATGTATGTGGGACCCTTCAAGCCAACCAGCATCTAAGCAGCTTGAACATCAAAAGGTGCACAGGGAGAGATGGAAGGAAGAGAAGAAAGCCACGTTCACCCTGTGTAAAAGTGCTGAGAACTTAATTGCAAATAGTAATCAGCCAACTAGTTAAGAGCCATCCTCAAAAAGTGCCTTTCATGCTCGTGAATGAAAGCAGCGGAAGGCTTTTTCTGCAACATAAAGAGGAGGTCAACAAAATACAGACTGCCTAATTCAAAGGTGTCGGTGCGTGGTGGTCTTTATCACACAGAACCTCCTGTGTGAGGCACTTGGTTGACAGGAGGGAAAGGTTTGCAGAAAACTACAGAGAAAGAGAGAGGGGAAACAAATTAGAGAATGGAAGAGCAGAGAAGAGACAAAAGGTAGAGAAGGAGTTGCAGGAGGTGTGAAGGAGACACATATATGGTCACTGAAAGAAGGAAAGGAAGGAAAAGAGGTGATATCACCAGTGAGGATCTGAGGAGAAAAAAATGAATGCAACTACAGAGGGGGGAAGATGGGCATGGGAAGTTTGGAGGGAATGGACTAGAGGGCAGAGGATTAAGAGGGAGAAAAATGAGGATAAGGGACTAACTGACCTTTAAAGGCCTGTGTGGGTGCATAGAAAGTGTAGGCAAGGACTATATGAGGAGTAAATATGATGTGGAAAGCGCAAGGAGAAAGGCTGGAATACACTGTGAGCAGATGGTCTGGTGGATAAGGTGCTGGATTCAGAACAGGAGGTCTGGGTTGGAACTTCTGGCTTCAGCAAAGGTCAGGATTAGCAGTGTTGGGAAGTGCTGGGAGGCAATGAGGTTACCCTTCATAGAAGTTTTGTTTCAGTTTTCTCAGACTTCTGCTGTTTTTTCCATCACATGGCTGTGAGAAATTCATGTAATTGACTTCTATCTGTTTTTAGCCTTTATCTGCAACACGAAAGGAAACTGCCTCTAGGAAAGCCTTCCCATTCAGTTGTCCCTTTGGCCCTGTGAGGCCATCTGTCAGCTCTCCAGAGCAGGCTCAGTCTCTCATGATACATCTGCCCAGCACCAGATATAATCTCTACGCACCACTGTAACACGAATAAATGAGTTTTGACAACAGTGGTCTAACTTGCCTGTATTCGAACTGTTAGCAGTGTCAGACAGATTTACACTACTAAAAATGTGGAATAAGTCTCCTAAATTTACAGTAGTGGCAGCAGATTGCTAGAATTGAGATTGACTTCACATAATCATATAAACTGTAAGCAAGAAACTTTCTTTTACTACAAGATTTCTAAGAGGCATAAAATGAAAAGCTGTAAATATTAACCTGCTACACAGCTATGGCTATAGCTGCTTTCTGAAGCTTTTGTATTATAAAGAAGACTTAAAAGCTGTTTTTTCTTTTTTTTTTTTTCTTTAAATAATGACTCTTACCAAGTTTGTCAATAGCTTTCTACATGCTACAACATATGAACAATGCCATAAGGAAGACAGATAGGTTTTAGAGACAGCCATTCGGTTTTGGTGGAACCTGGACGCATGGACCAATTCACAATACTTTCACTGCAGCAAATGCTCAGAGCCAACATTACAGATCAGGAAACCATCGATGTGAGGAATAAAATTAATCACAGGCTTGGAATCATTGCAATTCAGATGTGCTTTCCCATCTTCTTTGTGTTTCACCTGAAAGCCAGTGGAAGCTGTGTAACTGCTCCACTCTGTTCTCATCCCTGTATTGCTTGGTCCCCAGTTTTTTCCTATTTTCTTTTAGAGACAATAGAAGGATGGTTGCCCATATTTCATGTTCAGAAAGAAGAAGGCAGCATGATGCCAGTCCTTTATAGCACCAGGAGAAAACTCTGGTTAATAAAGTTGTACTGCTCTACACAGGGAAAGTTCAATTTGTATACGTGCTCTGGAGCAGGGCACAAAATGTGGGAACACCAGTGCAACAGGGACTTTCTGAAGCTCATCTTCTACTCTGATGTACTTTCATTCCCTTCACAGCCTGCCCATGCAGCCTGGCAACATGTGCACACGCACAGACACACACACACACAGTCCTGTCCAGGCTCAAGCTCTGATTTTTGGCAGCTGCCCATAGGCCAAGAGGAGTGAGACTTCAGTCAGAGATGGAGCCCTTCCCGACGTCCTGCTTGGTTACAGCACTTCCAAGAGTCTCAGCCGTCTGAAGGATGATGAAGTGCTGGGGATGCTAAAGGAGCCAACAACTATGGGTCAGCAGGGCTGATTTTGAGAAGTTTTATTTTTAAATTCCACTGGGGGCTTCTCCTCAAGAACTTGTGGAAATCTCTCAGTGAAGTCATGTTGAGATTAGGGCAAGTTTCTGCTGAGCAGCACGACTGAAAATCCTCAGCGCTTTGGTTTGCTGCTAAGTGGAAAATGCAAACTGCCTTCCACAGAGCCTACAGCTACAACACCAAACAAACAGGAGAAAGTGTTGGGGTCAGGTAGATGCGTGGCTGGAAGAGCTCTCTACCAGGAACCAGCAGCCCTCCTGGGGGCAGAGGCATGGGGCCGGCCAGCAGTGGTTGTCTCTGCTCTCTGTGAGGGGGCTGGGATTGCGTGTTAGGCTCTAGTTACTGTGGGACATGGCTGAGGCTTGACCTGCTTTTTTAGCCAAGCTCCGGTCTTATGAATTCAATAGAAAAACTTACGTGGACCTCAGTGGGACCTGGGTTTGGCCTAACGTGCTGTATTTGACATTGTGAGCGAGGGAAATATTTTTCTTAAGATTACAGTTGAAAGATTCTTGGGTTTCAGCTGAAGCCTTATGGTGGCAGAGCATTGCACACAATTTTTTCTTTCTGTTTCTTGAGTGAATCTTATTTCTTCTGCACTCGGCCTCTGAGCAGAACCTCTATGCCCAAACCTCAGTAAACACAGCTGCTGGGGGACATCCCCGTGCATGCACCCTCTTCCCCCCACCCCCATTGGCCACAGGCACCTGGTGGGGAGCTTGGACAAAAGGAAACAGAGGCTGTAAATTCACGTCCGCTTCGCTGTGTGCTGAGGAGGGGGAATTGCTGGAGCCAGAGCCAGAAGGAGAGAGCTGTGCTACAGTCTATCATATTTGTGAAGTACATATGTGATAATACCACTGCAACCACAAAAGAATTTACAGCAGGAAGCATTGCAGCTGTTGCTTATTAGCATTAGTACAAATTACACAAAGCAAATTGTTAGCAGACATGTTTCCATAATATTTAACTCATGGCAGTGAATAAAAGTGATTTTTTCTCAAGCAAAATTTTAGATTTCCAGGGGAATCAGTTTCCAATTGTCCATGAAGGGAGAGTGGATTGGAAGGCAGCATGCAGCTATCACAAGGACCGAGGCAACGTGCGCAGAGATCTGCCCACTTTCTTTGGTGAGAGGGTGTAGATTCAGGATTCCATTTCTTGGTGAGAAAAGAAAACCCACACGACTCCATCCAATCAGTTATGGGCAGCAGTGCCTGGGACCAGCTCTGCAGCTGTCATGCTAAGGTTCTGCCCACAGAGATGTTGGAAGAAAAGAGAGGCTTTTGCTGACCTGCAATTTCCCAAGATTTTTGCCCCCAAAGTGCTTATTGTGAACTATTTTCCTAGCAACCCCAAGCCTGTTGGTACAGATGCAGCGCAAGTGAGCACAGCAGCCCCATAATGCCAGCTATGAAGGGAGGATCAGGGGGAAGTGGAGACCAAGTCTATGTAGGAATGAACCAATATGCTTTTTCTTAAGAAAGATGTGTGACTCTTGACAGACTGCTGACAAACTGTAGAAATTGAGCAAATTGTTTCAGGGCAGTAACAACCCAGAGTGATGTTTTGCAGCCCGTCTCAAGGGTGCCTGGCTGCATTAATCACAGTGGCCAGAGCTGCTAGTGCTGCAAAGGGCACTGTGCTCCTCCAGCAAGACAGTGCACTCAGAGCAGTGGAAGCATTCCCTTGAGCACTTCTCACCCAGTTAGGACTGGGAGGGGGGTATTTGTCAGGGTGGGAGATGGGGCCATGACAGTCAGTGTGAGGGCAATGGGAGAGCTGCTTTATAGCCACCAGTTCTGCTACTTCTCATGCTTTGCAGCTGGCACTTCAGCAATGGAAGAGCTCTCCCCACATCTTCAGGCTTTACCTGCTTTTTTGTTTTTCTGAAAGCTAAGGCTCATGAAGTATTGAAACTGCCTAAAGCAAGCCAAGTGCCTTCCAATGCAGCTGCATTTAAAAGCAGAGAACAGGCAAATGCGTTGCACACAAAGGACAAACACATCCACCCATCTGTTTGGAAGAGTTAAGAACTGCAAGTGGTTGGATGCAGTCTGAAGTGAGAGCTGGGAACAGAATAGCAAACTAAGCAATTTATACCAGCAGTATGTGAACAACAGCTAACATAGTGTAACAGTAATGCTAAGCCACAGTGCTTGAGCACCTGGTGGAAGGTAGGACCAAACCAAATGAACTCAGGTGCATGCAATGTACCTGAGTGATGGGAAGGGGTGGAGCCAGAATATACCCCCTCCCAGACCTCATTTAAGGGTTGGCAGTGGAGATGAGGATTTCTTACTGGAGATTGCTGAGGCCTTCCAAAGGTAAGCAGCCTTCCCCTCCTTTTGTTTCTGTGTCTATAGCTGCTGCACTTAAGCTTGTCTGTCCTTGCTGCAGCCTGGGACTCTGCTACCCTGCTGTCATTGCTGTGTTTTCCATCACATTGTAGTGTTACGTACAGGCAGGTGACTCTCCATGCCTTGCTCCTGGCCTGACACGCTCCACACAGCACAGGTGTCTTAACCACCTCCCTGACAAGACTTAGGAGAAGAAGAACTAGTTCTAATTGCAGTAATGATTATCTCCTGTTTGCCTTTTGGTGAGGGGGAAAAAATACAAAAACACCAAAAAACCAAACATGCAGCATGGAGTTTCTTTTGTAAGCTTTACTTTTTTAAAACCAAGTCACTGAATGCCTCCTCTGTAAAAGGTGGCACATTAAATATCACGGCTGGAACAGCCTGCCATGCCTAAAAGTTCCATATCAAATGAGATAGCACCATTGACTGTATACATTAGATACATACATGAAAACTATTCCAGCATGTTAAATGTATGAACACTGTTGCCACTGCTGTGGTGTTATCAGTCTTCTCAGCTGCAATCTCTGCAGGGTGGAGATGGAAGAAAAGGGTGAGATGTAGAGCTGAAAGGAAATGATTCCTTTTTCAGGGAATTCTGTAGCACTGCATCTTTTTTTTTTTCTTTTTTCCAGTCTCTGAACAAAAAGTGAGTTTACAGAATCTCCAGGAAAATACAGTGAAAATACATGTTCTAAGAATCAGCCTGTGTAGGGTTCAGTACGTTGTGTCCCTAGGTAGCATGTGACTTTTCATTTAACATCTTTACTTCAGCTATTCATTTTATAAATGCTTTAACATGGAGACAAGATCTGCAGAAAGCCATCCAGTCACGTCAAGATCCAACTCTGCAAACATGTATGGACTACTTTGTTAGTCTGGGGATAGTTCCCAGGAGTTTACTGAAAGTCTTGTGGGATGTCATTAGTCATACCATGGATGGCCTAATAGTGGTAGGACAAGGGGGAATGACTTTGAACTGAAAGAGGGATGGTTTAGCTTAGCTGTTAGGAGGAAGCTCTTTACTCAGAGGGCGGTGAGGTGCTGGCACAGCTGCCCTGAGAAGCTGTGGGTGTTCCATCCCTGGAGGCACGCAAGGCCAGGTTGGATCAAGGATTTCCAGGATTAGATCTTGAAGTGGTACCTTTTCATAGGAGTTATATTCTAGCAGTGTGCACCCAAATGAATTTCATTCCATGAGGTATTTTTTTGTAATATTCTGCTATATTCCAAAGCTGCAATGGATGCTCATATCTTGCCTATTATCACAGCTCTGTTACCCAATTCTGTTGAGGTGAGCTTCAAAACAACCCACATGATCAACAAACATTTGCTACCACTCCTTGTCATGCACCAAATGTTTAAAACTGTATGGATGTGTCCCTTCATAATCCTCCATTTGTGAAGGATGAAGATGAGGGCATACCTACTCCACAGATCACTTCCTCACCCTTTGACTTGCCTTTCTCTTGGTGTGGCTACATAGAATATCAACGAGCACCTCTCATATTTGTGTAAGAGGCCAGGGAGACCTTGAGTCTACTTGAAAACATGCACATATGCTGAAAGCAAGTGTGCATTGTCTTCTGCAGCAGTGCAACCAGGCAGTGGCCATGCAGCACCCTCCTTGGCCCTAACCATTGCTGCAGTGCACAGCAGTGTGCCTTCCTCATGGGGAATATTCCCACCTGCCAAACAAGAGCAAACCCAGAAATTCTGTGTTTTTTTTCTTTTCTTTGAGTGCTGTGAACCAATACATCAGGCAGAAAGGTGGGGAGATGATGGCTGAGCGTGCCAGACTCCGTGGGAGCCATCCACCCCCTCTTTAACTTAACAGGAAACATCCTGTCAGAAACGCTTTCTGCATTGGGACTTTTCTTGAAATAATTAACTGTAACCGGTGACGGCTTGTCCTGCTGGGAGCCTGCGATTCCTCCTGGGTATTTAGAGATGTGCTGGTTAGTAGAGTCAGATGGTCAGAGCTCATCAGATGGAAAGCACCATGTCGTCACAGCTCCAGCCTCAAGTCTATTAGGGCTGCTCCCTCTAGTGGGAAAAGGTACTTCAGCTGCTATAAAAACCTTTTTCCATCTTTTTATTTCATAAAATAAAATTCTTTTTTTCCTCTCGTAATTTTCCTTCTAATTTTTTTTCTTTTTTTCCTTTTTTTCTTCTTTCAAACTGAAGAATTAAACTTTTCCAGACTTTAGTGCAAGACACAGGGTGGCTCCTGTTCAGTGTTGGCTAACCAAAGGGCACACGTTCCCTTCCCCCCAAACACTCTGAACATGTCAGCCCAGGCAGCGCTGTGTCCCACCCCATCCCTTCCTGGCAGGCAGCCAACGGTCTTTCTGCCAGCAGTCACTGTTTGCTTATGATTTTCCCCCTTCTGATTACAAAAATAGGACTTACTATAATCATAATAACATTAATGGTACAAAATAATTACTGTAATTATACACTTTTTTGGCAAATTATTAACACAAAGCAGCCCAAAAGCTCCCATTGGACTAAAAAAATTGCGAAGATGCACAAATGTTAAAAAAGACAAAGTCTTTGTTAAAGAGGGGAAAAACAATCTTCAAAAGAATGCATTTCTGTAAGGCAGCATGTTACCTATAGTTTTTTGTCTAGATTTAGGTTCTGCTGTCGTTCAGGAAGCTGTTAGAACTTGGCTTGCTTGAGCTTATCGATGTGGTAGCACAGTTTCAGCGCAGGTCCCAGTTTCAGCCCCAGGTATTTCATGATCATGTCACTTTTCAGCAGCAACAAAGCATTGCCATCAATCTCCTGATTTCAGAAGAGAGAAAGAGAATCAAAATATGTAAACCCCTGCTTCCAGCACCACAAAAGCAAGATGGCAGTGCTGTAATCCTGACACATTACCCAGGGTGAATCAGAAACGGCACATCATAGATGCAAATGTCATGAATTTTGAAATTTCATTAAGAAATTGAAAGCTGAAGTAGGATAAAAGGAAACTCTAAAGGAGCTTTTAATCAAATATTACTACTTATTCTTCAATGAACAGTAAGGTTTGTCAGTGTTTTTGATTCTTTGACAGCAAAATCATGAGGATTTTTTTTTAAACATCAGACTTGCTCTAAGCCCAGTTCTGAGAAAACTGATCTTAAGAGAAAGGAGCAAGTGATGGAGGGATGCGGCCTCATGAACTGCTAATAGCACACCTCTGAATCTCAGGTCCAGCTTTGTTCCTGGCTATCTGCATATTTCGTGTATCCTCAATACACTTACACCCAGTGATACATGCAATTAATTTCTTAAATTGAAAGCAGTAGTACCATAATTCATTTGCCACCAAGTTCATCTGTTTATACCAGACCTTTGGCTTGAAAAACTTTTTGTAACTACAAAATGCTGTGTTAAGCACCAAATAGCACTGGTGTACAAAGAGGTGGATGCTGTTCCACTGCAGGTTCTCCTATGACTGTAAAGCACAGAAGCTTCCAAATACAATGCCCTACTTCTGTTTCTGAGCTTGCCTGTTTTTTTTTTTTTCCCCCCAACTGTATTAGGAGAGCTGCTTAAAAATAATAACTCTCCTCTTGGTCTTCACCTCACTTTGTTACTTGGAGAGCTAAAACATAACTAATGAATATGAGTGCATAAATGCAGGCATCCACACAGGAGCAGTAATGCTGTATATATTCTATTTGATGGTTTTCACAGTGCTTTTTTCCTCTGTGATCCATTACCTACTAATTAAGCAATACTATGGATCCTAATTTGCCCTGATCATTATTATTCCATTCAGCAGGTGATTTAGCTGATGAGCAGTTAAGGTCACTTTCTGATTAACTCAATCAATTGATGCTCTTCATTCTGCAACCCCCACTCCATCCATTACAAAAACTCTCTTTGCTCTCCTCCTCTCCTTCCCGTTATTTTAAAGAAGCTAAAGAAAAGAAGATTAAGTATCATATTTAAATTAATATTTGCTTAAAAACCGTACTCCTGGAGCTGCGATGCCATTGGGTAAAATCACTGTCAAGGTATTTGGTGTGAATGTAACTGTTTCTAAGTGTGGAGTTCAACATTTTATTATTTCCTCTATTATGGTGGAGGAGAGGTCAAAATTAAACTCCGTAACTAGAGCATGCCAGAGGGAGAATTCATATTTAATCAATCCAAAATACCCCCATATTGGCCAAATCCCTATACAGATTGTTGACTTGGCTTCTCTCCAGTATTACTGTCATCCCTTTAAAAATAAATAAATAAATAAAATGTGGGATTCTATAACATGGCTCCCCAGTTTGCAGTAGAAGATCTTGAGTCAGATCTGGAGCTGTTAAATTCAATGCAATCAGCTTGTTTCACACACATTAGTTGAGATCTGGCCCACTGCAAGTTAGAGTGCTGCTGTTTTTCTGCAAGAGATGGGGACAGCAAATGTATGAGCTGCAAGAGAATGATACAAGGAATATGAACATACAGCTTCCAACTGCAAGAGTGGGTACTGCTGAGCCCATGCTAGTTTCTTTGCACGTGTTCTGAGTGGGCACTGATCAAGTCCCGTCCCTTCAGCACAAGAATTGTACCTGGTGGTTGATTCAAGCTTCTGCTTCTGGTGAGGAGAGCAGAGCAAGAACCACAGACAACCTGTGACATGTGTCGAAGCTGTGGTCTGTGCAGGCTACACCTCCCTACAACCAGCAGAATGGCTCTGGGCACTGCGGTCAGCGCTCACATGGACCAATATAGCAAAGGGAAAGAGTTCTTCTGTCAATATGCAGGATACCTCCCCGCCCTTCCCCTCCTCGTGGCCCCACCATCTTCTCCCTCCCAGTGTCATAGCTCAGATGAGCTGACTGCCACAGCAACAATTTCAGGTGACAACTGGGCCTTGTCAATGACAGTAAGTGCTTCTAAGTAAATTATGCACCTGCTTCATAGAAAGATTGAATATACAGGAAGATATGACTAAGGTTAATGGACTAATCACTTGTCTCTCACCCCTGGGGTCTCTGTGCTAATCCAGATGAGATTTGAAGGCTGAAAAATTGCAGGGGCATATATAACTCCAAGGTGCAATTGAATTGAGTTGTGTGGTAATCTTACCCAGGTTCTCAAACCTACTGCATATTTTACAAGGAAACCAATAATGAGTAGAGCCCAGTATTAGAGTAGAGGTGCTGGGTGCTTGACCAAGGCTGACAGAAACAGTCTTCAGAGGCAATTTAACTTGGTCTCTTTGGTCACAGAGCAGTGACAGTATTGTAGGATGGCATGCTTCAGAGCAGCAGGCACAATGAGCCAAGATTAAATATTCTTCCTGGCAGTGTACCTGGGAGTGTGCACTTCACAGACCAGGGCAATCCTCTCTACTGGTGCACAGCTCCTTCTACAAGTCTCAAAAATTCACGTCAAAGCAAGTTTCCTTAAGTCTACATGTGCCTCATTTATCTTCCTGATACCTACTTGGCCAATGTGGGCCATCTGACTCCTCTGCAGAAGGCAGGGAAAGAAAGCTAGCACCTGGTCTGCAATCAAAGGTTTGATCCTAGCATGGCTGTGCCTGCTCTGTCCTCATCCCATCGCCCTGCCTGCAGGTGTCAGATGGTCTCAGTCCCTGACTGTGGTGAGCATCCATCAAGGCTCATGCTCTGAATTGGCCAAGGAAGGGTGGATGAGGCTGAAGATGTAGTGATATGTGGTGCTACCAGATCCAGCAAAAACAAGAAAATCCTGATCAGATATTGTTTACAGTCTACTAATTAGGATTTCTTCACAAGAGATGGCCTAATGAAGGCAGCTATCATATTCCCTAGTAAGTCATCTGGTCCTTTAAATTTGGTTATGTAGTTACATAATATTAAAAGTCCACAAATTTGGCTGTTTCAGGCTTCTGCTGCCAAATGTCCACAGATATATATATATATTAAAAATTATATATATATATAATATATTATATATTGTATATTATATATATTATATTTAAAAAAAGCTCTTTGGAGAGGAATCACAGGTATCCTGGAAAAAAAAAGAAGTGTTTGAAGCAAGGTTTTTTTGCCACACAATCTGACAGTGAAAAAAAAAAACACCAGATCCTGTATGATTTCTGTTAGGTTTAGCATAATGATTTATGTTGGTATGGTGAGAAGAAATAATGAGCATTTCCTAAAGATGTTGTTAGGATTTTACTATTGAGGGATAAGTGAATGTTTCTTCACCCTAGCCGCCTGTTTGATGTGAACCCCTTGCAGGGCCCCTTGCTCAAACCATCTGAGCACAGGCACACCCTATAGCAGCCATAGACAGGGCGCACGTGGTATGCTGGCTGTCTCTCTTGCAGGTGACTTAAATCCCCTAGAAGCACTAAGAGCAGCCTTTACATACGTGTTTTCTGAAGAGCTCCACGTGAGGACCTAAAGCGTGAGGGTCTGCATCCTTCACAAACCAAATCACATCATCCACGGTCCAGGTCAAAGGATTCTTGCTTGATGGCCGAGCCACGTCTTGTCGTTCTGGTGAAGGACTTGAGGCTATCGATACAAAAAAGCCCGCAACAGCACATTACAAAAGCATGCAGTGATTTCCTTGGTTTGTGGGCATGCAGCAGTGCAGCAGCCCCACGTGTTGGATGTTGGATCTGTGCGTATCAGCCTGAGCTGATGGGGTGAGAGAGAAGGGACTTGGCAGTTTTGGATCCAACTGCTTACCAGGAGATATGATCCCAGCTGGTGAATTGTGTTAAAAAACATGAAACCCTCAGGTTCCTGCTGGGGAAGGAACAATGTGCCAGCTGCCAGCCTCTTAAACAGAGCTGCCCCTGCTGTCTGATCTGCAAACATTGGGGATCTCGACTCCAGAAGACACAACCCTCCCACCTGGAGGCATGAAACAAAGGAGCTTGCCATTAAATGCAAAGGCTAGGAGATAAAATTGGGATACAGCAAATATTTTATTTCTTTGCATCCAGACATTCAGTCTTTTCTTGAAGCTTAGAGGTGGGTTCCTAGTGAATGTTCTGCTCACGTGAATCTAAAGGTCCCCAGTGAATGCCTGTTTGGAGATCTACTAAAATACATGGAGATGAACACTGCACATGTGACTTTTTAATGGTGTAAGCCCTGGATGATTTAAGGTCACTTTGACTTGCTGTAGCTTTAAATCAAGTGAATAAAGGCATATCAGAATGAAAGTGCATTTATGTTTTTATTCTCAGTCTCTGCAGAATTATAAATCTTAGCCTTAGATGCATATAATTTGCACACATACATATACCCTTACGTTGCTTCACTATCCCAAGTACTGTATTATGCTAGGTTACAGGAAATCCACACAATGCAAACTTTATATTCACAGGCAGCAGCACAGAAATGGATGTGATGTTACTTGCCAAGACTTGCTCATCAGTTTCTGCTAAGGTTCAGTATTCAATGAGAGGTGTAGGTGGTAAGCAAGCAGGCACTGCAGGAGACAGAAAGGGAAGCAGAAGAGTGCAAACAGAGAGAGATCATGGATAGCTAAACTGGAGCCTGGAGAGGCCCCAGGTAGCAAGCAGGGGAGCCAGAATGGCTTCAAGCTGCTGAGGAAAGAAGGGCTGATCCCTCCAGAGAAATTCTGAGTTCATAAAATGTGTGAGAATACCACGCGTGGCTCAAAACATGATAATGCGTATGAGCAAATGCAGTGGGCGGGGTTGGTGGCTTATGTAAATCCTTGTTCTGATGACTTCAATAGAGCCCTGCTGATTTATGTGAGTGGGGGTCTGCCCATCTATGCACAATTATGGCTTTATGTGCATATTGGTCCTTTTTTCTTGCCGCATCCGCATCCGTATAATGTAATGAGGTATATTTTGCAGTTATAAAGGATGAACTGTAGAAAGCAGCAGCGCTATGAATGTGTGAATGTGGTCGATGGGCTTCATAATGGGATGTGATGTAAATATCATGATAATTACACTCTCATTTGCTAAGTCACTGTTCTGGATATAAAGGACAAGGAATAGCCGCAGGTCCTCTTAATTAGACAGTGAGGATTTGTGTTCATATGGACTCATGCGACCCTGGGCTCTGCTCGCAGAATAAATGCAATACACAGTGGTACAGACACCATCTGGACTCTTTGGCATAAAGCGATGAAGATGAAGAGTGCAAAACGTATGGGGCAATTTCAGCCAGCCCCTGGATCATCAGTAATATTGAGCAAGTTTGTCAGGGACGAGTGAGAGAACCTCGACTTGCCTGGGAGCTGGAGGAGCCAGCACCTGCAGGAGGCTGCTGCAGTCTGACATGCCAGCAGCACAAGCTGAGTGTGGGCACCACGAACCGAGGGCAAGGGGAAAAACAGAGAGAAGACTGAAAGGCTACTCAGTGCCTGTAAGGTTGCAGAAGTTTTAATGCCACAGCAATAGTGTGGTCAGGGAACATGTTGTGCCGCTACCGAGGATCACATTTTTTCCCCTTAAATTTGCATGACTGCAAGGAAATCTGAGACGGCTTTGCCTGGGGTTCACACCAGGTGAAAGGAGAGCAGCCCTGGACCCAAGTGACTGCTGCCCAGAAATGCCCTTCTGCCAGAAATGCATTGCTTCCAGAAATGCCAGGAAAGGGTAAAGGGAAGCAGCAAGTCCCTGGGAGCAGCTGGGAGCCTCTGCGGGCATTAGAAATATTGGTAATATAAGGAAGTGGGGTGAGAAGAAAAGGTTGAAATGACAGGGTGAACTCTACTCAGTGCTCTGCAGTCTAGCAAACAATAGCATAAATCTGATTTTTTTAGAGGAATATAAAAATGACCTTTCTAAAGAATCTACATGGCCAGAACTCTTCCAGCCTCCAACAAGTGAAGGTAATCCTGTCAAACCCCACCCGCAGTAGAACCACGTAGAAACAAAAACTATGCATAGATATTAACTCTATTTTAGTCTATATATATTCCTAGGTTCATGTCCTATATTCTCTGCTGCTTTTTCATGAATTGTGATATTTTCCTTGCATGTAAGTGGCTACTTTTAAATGCTGTCAGTAAAACTGGGATACCATCAGTTTGCAGACAGACATCTCAAATGCAGTTCATAGCTGGTGAGGTTGGAAGCAATCTGTTTTTCCATCTCTTTTAAAATGTATTTTGTTTCCTAATTTATTCTGACTTCTTAACTTTGTAATTTACCCATGTAAGTGCAATTTCTTTATTTCTGAAAAAAATAAATCATTTCATGCCTACACAAAGGCACGAGTTCTCTGTTTCAATAGCATCACTTTGCTAAAAGATTATATTAAGCACAAAAGTGTTTGATGGCAGCAGGGCAAGTACTATACATTTTTTCTTATCTGAAGGTATTCACATTTAACCTAAGAATTAGATAAATGAGGAAGTCTCATGTCTCCTGGGTATCCTATGCCATCCTGTCATCAGAATTAATCAAGATGATAATGAATACTCAGATTACAAAGAGATGGGAGTGCTCAGGACCAATAATTATTTTTAGAGATCGTAATCTAGGTCAAATCCAATTTCCTGTTTTTGACAGGTGGCAAAAAAAAATTGTCAAATTAATGGAATGAGATATGGAAATTCAGGTAATCAAAGGGAAACACTCCCCCTCCTGCCTGCATTGGTACTGGAGAGGATGGGGAAGGAGCTCCCTGCAGGGGAAGGCTCTTGGGGCATCCCAGCTGAGACCATTGCAGGGATGGCTGGAAGTATGAGATCGGCACCCAACACCCAACAAAGCCAATGGCAAGACAGTGTTGGTGCAAAGGAGCCAGTGGCGGAGCTCTTGCCCCTCAGGCTTTTTTCTGAGCCCACTTCAGGCTCCAGATGTTCCTGAGAAGGAGGGTGAAGGGAGGGAAAGCCAACAGCTGAGTGGTTGCAGAGCCACAATGAGAAAATACAATGCTAAAGTGGAGTTAAACCTGTGAAAGAAGGGAAGATAAATAATGGACTCCCTAAATATGTTCTTGGCAAACAAACAGAGCCCCAAGGGAGTGCGGCCATTGATAGATAAGAGTGGAAAGGAAGTGACAGATGAACTTTAATATTGCTGCAGGCCTAAATGATTTCTTTGCCTCAGGGAAAAGGGGTGGGAATGAAATTTTAAAAGGCTCTCTCTGATCGTACTGGAGCAGTTAATGAGGAGCAGCAGATCCACTGAAAGTAAGCCGAAGTAGCAGGACCTCAATGGTACAGAGGGATAGGAAACACTTCTTTAAAAAGCCCTCCCACCGCATGTGAGGACAGGAGGAGGGCTCTGCAGGAGAGGCTTCCTGAGACAGCAGGCAGCACCCACAGTGTGGCATGGGGACATGATGCCACAACTGCCAGAGCAGCCCTGCTGATTGAGATACAGCCATAAACTGGTGGCAAACGCTTACTGGGGCTCTCCTTGTCTCTCTTTTGAAGAAGAAAAAGAAAAGCTCAGTGCAGGTGTCGAACCTTCCAGGTTGCGAAAGTGCCCTCAAAACCTGGCAAGCTGTGCACACAGAAGCAGCGGGACCAGGGCTGAGCTTCTATTCCCTTGCCATTGCCTGGAGGAGGTGCTGAGCCTGGCTCCCCTGCAAGGTGCTTGCAGCATTCATCTGTGAAAAACAACCTTCGAACCCTGTGCCTGAAATGCTGTCAGGAAAAAAATGTATTAAGCAAGTGGGACTGTCTCTTTAACAAAGACCCTCAGGGGGTAATAATTAACTGTTAATATTGGATAATAAAATCTGCATAAAGTCCCCAGGCTATAGGCAAGGTTGAGGCTGTTACGTTGTGGCTGAACGCACAATTCTTCACACTTGGGATAAAGGGTTTGTTTGTCTTTATATAAGCAGGCTTGGAAAAGTTTATGGTTTATGATGTCCTTGACTATTCCTTCTCAGATGTAAGAGCTTCAATTTGGCAGACGATGACAGCAAAGTGCATGTTTATCTCTTAGTAGCCCCAACTGGCTTTCTGAAATGAGATTTTTTTGTTTGTTTGTTTGTCTGGAAATTTTTAGCATAGTCATGGAGAATTAGGCATCATGCTTCCAATCGCATTAATGAGAGCTTTGGGTTTTAATCTCATCCATTCCCCTTGAAAAGCTTGTTCTGCTATGTGCTGAGATATGTTTTGCAGTTATGATTTTTGCCACGATGTTTGCCCACCCTGATAAATAAGGCATGCTATTTTTCTGATATATCAATTAATAAAATGGATTGACCTGAGGTTTTGGAGATAAATTCTTCCTCTTTTTAATGAGCCCTGTCCATCCCTGTCTTTAAGTAAGCAAACTGAGGAGGATTAAAACGGATGCATGTATGCACCAATTACTCATCTCTGCCCGTTTATGATTCAGGAGCATATGAACTGTCCCTAGAAAGTGGAAAAGCATACACACAAGCACCATGTTGAGAGCACGGATTCCTAAGACCTTTGAGAGAGATTTTGCCAAGACAGTAATCAAACTCCAGCGTAGCTGCACTGAAGCATTCGTGGGAAGATACATATTTAAAAGGTTGTGATTACTATTAAAGTATAAAGAGAAAAATACATGAAAAATAGGATAGCTGTGAAAAAACAGAGTCTCTACCTTTAAGGAGAAGCAAACAGCACTTTGTAGAAATCCACAATGGGAATTCCAGCAGTACAGAGCTGCGCTACAGCACTGACACTATGGCAAATGGAGAAGGAAATGAAAGCAGACTGCCTGGAAGTAGCACCATTTCCCTAAGGATGGAAGGGTTGCTGTAATAAATCTGTGGGCACCCTGACTTCATGGTTGTCACTGTGTTGTACGTCTCAGTCACTGAAACCATCATGGCCGTAGGGAAGAGCCAACTGCTCTCCTCTGCTTCAGAGAAAGCAGATCCAGGGCAGTGAAGAAGTTCAGGGGAAAGGGGATGGTGGTGGCACAAACGTTCACAAATCACTGGGGCAGATGTTCAGAGGTGCACAGAGCACCTAGAACACAGGCAATTGCTAATCCTCCTGTTGGAGACATTGATGACAAACTCATCTCTATATGGATGTATTTATTCCTGCACATGCATACCCTCACTGTTAATAATTATAGATAAGTGCTATCAATAGATCAACAACTTTTTTTTTTTTTTTTTTTGTGATGCTCTCTTCTTAACCATCAGCTTTAGGAGCCCTTATGGCTGAACTGGCCAAAATAACAGGGACGTTCATAGTCACAGAAGAGAAAATAATACAGCCGAGCAAGATTAAGCCCTGATTTTAAGCTCCAGTCTCCTGAACATAGATTCAAATCCATTATACAAAGGCTTTTCTCCATATAATGCAATTTTAAGCACAGGAACTTTACCATGGTGTTGTTATTATTAATGCTGAAAACATGCGATGTATTCAATAAGCCATTGGGTAATTTAAGGGAGAAAAACCTACGACTGGTTACTCAATATGAATTCACCACTTCTGGCTCAAAGTCCTTCAGCCACCAATTTCTGAAAGTGGAGAGGGTGCTGGGGAAGCACTGCTGTGCCTGCACTCAGCTCTGCCCTGGGGCATGCCTCATGCTGGAGACAAGATGCACAGCAAAGCAGAACTTCAGGACTTCGGTCTCAGCTGCTCTGACATTTTCCTGTACACTACGAAGAAATATCCAGAATGATGAAGATTTTCAAACCAAACTAGTAACAACATTGTTAAATCTTGGCTCATTGCAGAAGCCCTTCCAGTTTCCAGGGGAAATGCAAGAAGCAGTGTAAGAAGCCAATGCTGGACAAAAAGGTTAGGGGGAACCAGCAAAGCTACAGCAAATATATCAAGAGGAAAAAGTAACTGGAGTGACAGTAGATTCCATTAATATATGAGGAAGGGGAAGAAATTAATGACTTGAAAATGGCTGAGATATTCAACTCCTTTGTTAAATCTACCTTCAAGATGAAAAATGCATAAATGAAGTTTGAATAATTAGTAAGGGGTGAAGACACTATTCAAATGGCTACTGATAAAGACCCGTTAATGGAGAAATTGAAAAATGCAAATAAAGAAAAAGTTAGCAGAAGTTCAGGGAATCACCTAACTCATTCGATGAACCCAAGTCTTTTCTGGGGTGAAAGAAGTCGTGGCTAACAGAATACAGCACAAAGCTGGAGAAGAGAAAATGCAGTCCAGGATTAGAAAGTACGCTTGCCACTGTCTCAGCTCCTTCTCTGGAGATGTTCAAGACCTGCCTGGATGCCTACCTGTGCGACCTGCTGTAGGGAACCTGCTTTGGCAGGGGGGTTGGACTCGATGATCTCTGGAGGTCCCTTCCAACCCCTACGATTCTGTGATTCTGTGATTCTGTGATTCAGCTAGTTCTCTCCTGATACTGTGAGTATCTACCCCATCCTCTGCCCTTCTCTGCCTTACACCAGGCTGCCCCTGTAGTCCCACTTGCTCCTCTCACCTCAGCTGCCAGGAAAGCTTTCCTGGAGGGAAGCCATCTTTTGCAATGAGTCCCATTTTAAGAGGGCTTGGCACCAGCAGAGTGCCCTTAATGGGCAGAGCGATCAACTCAGTGAGTTTAAATCCTATGAGGATAGCTGGACAAAAATACCAAGAGAGGGGAGTGGAAGGGTTATTGAAAGCAGTGATTCCTGTGGCATCTCTTGGATCTGCAGATAAAACTTCTACTGACTTTTCTTCCCTAAAGGATAAAAAAGCCTTGAGCAGTGAGCCGGGTGATTTCTAAAAATATGTTTCTGGGCAGTCTTTTTCAAATAAAATTTGCTGCAGTTTGTATTTCAAGGGGTAAGGTTGGCTACATCTGGGAAGCAAAATCTTTTGCTAAATTGTTTGATAGGCTCTAATATTTGAATTTGCTCTTTGTGGTACTTTGTACACAGCTGCTCTCATGCAATTAACCTGCCTGTAAGAAGTCTCAATCTTGGGGAAGAACGCCTTATGTATTAATATTTATGTCTGTAAATTGATAATGGCAGTTGTGATTGCCACTCGATTATACATAATGCATACGTTTACATAATTAATAACAGCATTAGAAAACATTCACCATTTTGCTTAATGATGAACAGATTGATTTTGTGTTTACATAGGTTATTATTTCTCCTTCTAAGTGGAAGCACGCGTGGAGTGCATGCCAGTGCAAGTGCACCTTGCTAACTTTCCTGTAAATTTGGCAATGGCTTCAGACCCCAGCACGGCACCAACATAGCAACACACATTGCTAGAAGGAAGATATTATATTACCACTTGTGTTTCCTTCAGAATAGATCCCATTCCTTGTTGGGCTGGAGGCGTGGTGCCGCGGGCCAGCAGAGGAAGACCTCCCTGAGGACACAGGAGCAGGACGATGGCCACAGGAGGAAGAGGAGCCTCCAGCAGGATGTCCATCTGCAGGACTCTGCCGCATGGCATACACGGAGCCCACACAACTGAAGGCAGAGTCAGTAGGATCTGCACTGTACCGCTTCATATTAGCTGGATCCAGATAATCCTCGGGGATGACTGTTTCTGCTCAGCAAGAAAAGAAAGAATCAGTAAAATGGAACCAACATTTAGCTTCACTTCAAACTTCCTGTACAGACAGCTGGATGGCACAGGTAGGCTGGACCCAGGAGGCATCTTTTCTGAGAATTAATAAGCAATAAAGGGGAGCACAATCTCTCAGAAGTCAGTAGAATCATGACAGGAAAGTTTTGGCTTGATGCAACCCACCTGTTGGGCGTCAGGTTAGGGCAATACTCTCACACTACTTCCCACTCCCACTGGGTGGGAATGCAAAGGCAGGGTTCACTTGCCTCATGGTGCTTCCTGAACACTACCAAAGCAAAAGGTCTAATGGACAGCGTGAGGATGAGGAGCTTCAGGAATCCAGCCCCTACACATACATGCTATCTCTGCCTTAGAGATTCCCACTCCAGCTGGGTGATACAAAGCATCAGCATCAGGCAGACAGGGATACCACAGATTAGGCAAGTGCCTCCCTTTTCCCCTGTGATGTTTCTCTGAGCTGCTGAAATTGCCACTGTCCTTATTGCGTGTACAGTCCTCCGGCTACATCCGAGCAGAATGAAATCACCTGTATGGTGCCACACATCTCCTGACACTCAGTAACAGGATGAATTTATACAGTAATTTATGCTATAAGACCCAAACCCCCAAACCCCATTGCTAATATATGCTGAGATTGTATGTAATAGTCTTTTCCTTTTAATTTACGTTCTTCATATTTTCTTTTGAAAAATCCCTTTGCAGCTGCATGTAATCGTTGATATTAAACAAATGTGATTTAGTCTGACAACTCAAATACTCAAAAGTTGTGCCACACCAGCATCCTGGCCCACATGTCAAGCCATAATACAGACTCCTGCTGTATGCTTATCATTCTTTTCATTTGCTTGCTGCTGCCTCTTAAAACTTTGGCCTGTTCTGGGCTGAAGCTGGACTCACTGTAAGGCAATTATTCCATTGGAACGACAGCCATGAATGTGAAGTTTTCTCACTTTTGGGCATTTGTCTTTGTAACTGCATGTAACATTCCTCTAACTATATTTTTCTCCCTTAGATAATTTGGATTCTCGCAGCTTGCATGCAGGTAGCCTTCTGCTTTCTGCCAAGGGTTTCTGAGCTTTATTCCCACCAAATACAAATAGAGTGTAATTCAGCTGAATTCAACAGAGTTCAGCTAATATAACACTAGCATAAGGGAAGGGAGATGGGAATCTGGCACTCTGAACCTTTTTCCCTAGCCTTCAACAGATGTCAAAATTGTATAGCAATTGAGATAACTACCTTGCTTTTCAGACTCCTCCCTGTAAACCAAAGAAAATCCAATCAAGCTTTCTCATTCAAAGGAATTTAATTACTGTGTAGAACACTTGCAATAAAAGCCTCTTATGCATAAAGAAGACAGCTCTTTCTGCAGCATCCTGCCTGCACCACATGGAATAATTATGCCTCTTGTGAATGATTACCTCTTTATTTCAGGAAAGAATTCTTTTTTAATATAATTACAATATGAAGAAGATACAGACTGTCTAAACAACAAACAGCACATTAGAACAGCTCTGCTAAATAAACAGCATACAGCTTTTATTACTATAGATATAAATGACTCCTAAATTTGTGAGTGGACACCAGGGATTTTTTGACTGATGTCAGACTCACAGTAATCTATGTAAAATAAGACCTGCATGGATAAAAGTCTCCCAGTGGAAAAGAATGTATGAGTTGTGTATGAGAATATGATGAAGAACCAGATGCTGTTATTTCTGTTACCAACTCTGCCTAAGACTCTTTTCTTGATCAAGATCAATTTGTGGTTAGACTAGATGATACTAGTGGTCTTTTCCAACCTTAATGATTCTATGATTCTATGAATTTTTTCCACCTATCACTGCTTTGGGCTCCACAATAGGAGTAATGATGCCTATGCCCTGGGCAACCTGATTTAGCTGTGCAAGTCTCTGTTCATTGCAGGGGAGTTGTACTAGATGACCTTTAAAATCTAACTCTAAGGATTCTATGATTCTATTGCCATAGATCAGCAGGAGCTTCTGTTTGTTACTGTTTGCATTGTGCCCAAGATGAAGGTGCTTTGGCAATTTGAAGAGTGACTCATGTCATTAGACGAAGTGGAACAGAGATCACCTTACACAGTCAGGTTTCTAGGCAAGCCTTTTCAGAGCTCCCAGTCTTCAGATTGGCATCAGCAGTCAGTAGGATAGAACAGCAACTTGCTGGAGTTACCTCTTCCTGACCATGGGTAGCTCATGAGGAAAGACAGGTCACAGACTGGGAAAAACGAGACTTGGCGTTCAAGCCTGAGTGGTTACAGGTTTAAGTCATGCATTTATGAAAGGTTCTGGTCAGCTTCTGTGCTGCCTGCCGAGTGTGGGCTGCTTTGCAAAAATGCCCTAGCCAATGCAACTTCAGCAGCCACCTATTCTAAGTGGGACCATCTCGATATTACCAGAGCAAACAAGACTTAAATATTAGGAAAAAGAGAACATGCTGGCTGCTATTAGGAAGCTAACAATCTTGGAGCAAGCATTAAAAAGCCTCAACCAAAAGGAGATGGAGAGCTTTTCAGCCAACAGCAGCAGGGTGCTGGAGGATCAGTGGGCACACTCTGTTGGGAAGGAGGAATAGTAACATAAAAATCTTGGCTTAAAACAGGCTTGCCTGCCTGGACTTCATAGGCTGGGCTGCTTACAGTGGCACTGTAAATGGGTTGCACCATCCAGAAACTCAGAAAAAACTGTGGAAGCTTTCTGTGTTCACAGCTGTCTGGCTCCCTGTTAGCTGTACCATAAAGAAGGTGAACAATGTGCAGCTCAAGCAGCGGTGTGTCCAGGTTTGACATCTACTAATCCCACTTTGACCAGCTAGAAGAAAATATATTTTGTAAGACAGCAGAAGAAAATAAAACTCCTAATTGAGGCTTAAAATGTAACAGTTTCATAGATCTGTGGCTTAGCCCATCTGTATTCAGTTGTACTCTTGTATATTTTTTTTAGGTGGCTAGCAGAAGAGCACACACTACTAAAAAATGGTAGGTAGTTTTAAAGCAGAGTTAGGTGAAAGCTGCCTTGAGCCTTTGCTTTGAGCACAGTAGTCTCCATTACAACTTTTCACTACCTTGAGAAGCTCAAGCCATTGTGAATTAGTTTTCCTTTCCAGGAATGGTCCACAGGAAATTTGGATGAGAAGTGGAAGTTTATTACATCCAGCACACCTTAAAATGTAGCAAAGGAGAAGAGGAAAAAAAAAAAAACAACAAAACATAGTCACCAAAAGCAAAGCCTGTTTTCCCAGTTTAAAAATTCAGGTTTATTTAGCTGAGATTCTGAAAGTAGCAGCCTGCGTGTTTCCCAACTAAACTCCTGAAGATGAGTCGATGTGAGAACCTGCAGCTCACAT